ACCTGAATTAATTTTCGATACGTGAAACTTTATTGCCCTGAATTTATTACTTTCTCTAGTGTATTTTGCAACGGTAATCTCTCCCTTAATTCTCCTATATATTTTCCCATTTCCACCCCCCTTTCTTCCATACCCCTCTCTCTCTCTCTCTCTCTCTCTCTCTCTCTCTCTATAAAACATCTGCAGTTTCTGTAAAAATTCTAACATTATAAGTTTACTATGGCGGATCGTGTTTATTACTTATTCCTTGTGTTGTTTTCTGCTCTGATCACGTGCTCTTCACGTGCTCATCAACTCACCGTCGGCGGCAAGAATGGCTGGGTGGTCAACCCCTCCGAAAACTACAATCACTGGGCTGAACGGCTGAGATTTCAAGTCAACGACACCCTCTGTAAGTATCATATATATATATATATATATATATATATATATATATAGACACGTGCTTTTATTTTTTGTTTCTACAACATTTGATTGTATCGAAACTGATGTTTTTTTGTTTTAGTGTTCAAATACAAGAAAGAATCAGATTCGGTGGTGGTGGTGAACACCAAATCCGATTACGACAACTGCAACACCGGAAACCCTAAACTGAAACTCGACGACGGAAACTCCGTCTACAAGTTCGATCGATCCGGGCCGGTGTTCTTCATCAGCGGCAACAAATCCAACTGCGCCGCCGGCCAGAAGCTGATCGTCGTCGTCATGGCCGTCAGGAACCACCCTTCGCCGCCGAAGGCTCCGTCTCCGGCGCCAACACCGGCGCCGTCTCCTGCACTTCCACCATCTGAGGGTCCGGCTCCAGAATCCAGCGACGGCCCGTCGGCGAATTCTACACCGGCGGACGCTGGTGGAGAAGCGCCGCATCCACACCGCCGCTCCCTTGCAGCGCCGGCGTGGAATCCATCTGTTGCATTGGTGTTGACAGTTTCGCTTGTTTTGAGTGTGTGCGGTGGTGGATTTATTGTTTCTCTTTAAATGTTTTTTGTTTAGGTTGTTCAAAAATTCCCCTTTTTAATTATTTTTATTTATTTTTTTAGTAGGGATTTTTTTTTTTTTTTGGTGTATTGTTGGAATAGTTTGTCCTGTTACTTTCTGTTTGATATTTAATTGGCATTTTATGAATTACTATTGTACCTATTTCATTTATATTTATATTTATAAAGTAAGGTATTAGATAATACACCAATGAATTGAAATAAATGCATCTGCTTACAAAAATATACATTAATTGTTACATGAATATTGGAATATTTGTTAGGTCTTATTATGGTATTTGTTTTCTTGCAACTAGCATTTTCCTCGTGCGTTGCATGTGATATAGCATGTCAAAACGGAAATTAGAGAATTAGTAGAGAACAAATACAAAGAAATTTTTTAATTACAAAAATGTCATTAACAAATAAAATGAAATAACAAAGAAATTAAAGCAGTAAACAACTCATTTCTATAGGGGTGAGTTCGGGACGGGATTTCGGGAATTCGGGATTTTCGGGATCGGGATTTCGGGATTCGGGATAGAAATTTTAAATCCCAATCCCGTACCATAATATTAAATCCCGGTAATATCGGTATCCCTAAATATTTCGGGAATTCGGGATTGGGATCGGGAATCCCATATTTTGGCTAAAAACTAAGAAATATATATATATTTTTTTTTCATTAATATTATTTTATACATTAAACCAACTTGAATATATTATATAAATACTATTATTATTGCACTATTTATTTTTACCACAAAACTTGGAACAAATGAAATTTGAAAAATTTAAAAATAAGTTGAAACGATATATTATATTGTATTTCTCATCTCCTTGACAAATATATATATATATATATATATATATATATATATATATATATATATGTGTGTGTGTGTGTGTGTGTGTGTGTATGTGTGTGTGTGTGTTTATTAGTTTTTTTTTCTTTTTTCCTAATTCGGGATTAAAATATCCCGATCGGGATTGAACCAATTCCCGAATCCCGATCCCGTATTTGTTCCTAATCCCAATCCCGAATCCCGTAATCCCGAATTCCCGAAGTTTTAATCCCAAATAGTAAAATTCTAATCGGGACGGGACGGGATCCCGAATCCCGATCCCAAGGTCCCAGCCCTACATTTCTATCTAAAATAGAAAAACATGATGGGACTTTTTGTAATAAAACCATCACACAAGAAATGATCCGTTCAATTTAGTAATTAGTACTCATAAATGTAAATTAAAGACAAAAAGGAAAAATAAAATGTGTTGAATGTTGTTTTAATTTATCGGCAGAGGCCAGATAATGGGGGAATTAATTATTCAACATTAGAATTAAGTCATCAGTTACTTATATTAGTAATATAATTTAAATTCACCGGCAACTTAATGCTGAATTAATATTTATTTAAAAAATTCAATTAGTTAATATGTCTTTGTACAAATCCTTTTTGAAAATCATAAAATATTATATCTTATTTCAAAAAGTAAGATCTTACGTTATATATTTAGATAATAATATATAATATAGAGTTAGAAGACATAAATAGTCATCGTAATTTCATAAATAATTTATTTTACTATAATCTCACATATATTTAATTTACTTGTTTAATTCTATTTCTATGAGTACTTAAAAAAAGAAAAAGAAAAACTTCGGGATTAACCAAAAAAATCTAGTTCAGTTGTGTTCGTAAGTGCGAATTTATACACACATCGTATAAAGGGGCGGGGTGGGGTAGTAAATTTTAAAACTCACCTTATAAGGCCTCCAATTTCTCAAGAACATGTCTTCTCAAGACCTTTTTTTTTTTTCAACTTGTAAGCATTTAAACTCTTAGTAGTGACGTGGTTCAATTCCTAGGATGGCCTTACATGGGGCGGGTGCCTTGCTAGCAAATCCCCCGCCCCATGCTCGTTTCGGGTGTAATTTTGTTATACCCTCCCCGCCTAATACAAGTGAAAAAAACTATTATATAAACTATCTCTAAAAAACAATATTTTTTTATAATATAAAATGTTATAAAATTAATAAAAATTTGTAAGCGGGTTGGATACGGAGCGGATACGAGTGCATATATTCAAAATTCATACCCGCCCCCATACCTATTGCGGGTGAAAATTTTAAAATCCACACCCGTCCATTAGTAAACATGGCGGGGATTACACACTAAATCCAAGACAGTGCGGCGGATCTTCAATGGAGCTGGTCAAATTGCTGTCCCTAGCAAATTCCAACCGCATGCGGCATGCATGTATGTATATATACCTCGATCTCCAAAGTGTACACTTAGAGGGTGTTTGGCTAATTAAGCTTATTTTAAACAGCTGATAATATAAGCTCTTACGTCTGATAAGATGTTTTTTGATCTGATAAGCTGTTTTAGGATTATTTTTTAGAGTGTTTGGATAATGAGCTTAGTTAATATTTTTACACATTATAAGATCTTAAATAAAAAGGTGGGGTAGATGTACTTATTTAAAAAGATCTTATTTGCTCCCAACAGCTTATTTTTTAAAAAAATAAGATCTTTTTATAAAAAATTACCAAACACTTTGGAAGAGCTTATAAGCTCCAAAACATCTTATAAGCTCCTTTTAACATCTTATAAGTTTAGCCAAACACCCTCTTAGAACAACTAGATGATTTAATTATAACATTTGAAATATGGTCATGCATTTTCGAATGTAAATAACTAAATGAATTGTTTAATGTCTCTTGTGGTGCACGTGGTAAATGGATTTAAAAAAAATATATTTCTAATTTCTATTATAAATATTAATTATTTTTAGTTTTTACTATCTACATATAATTTTTATTTATTTTTGACAATTACAAATAATATATTTGTTAGGAATCACACAATGTACATAACAGAAATATGCAGAAAATATCCATAGAAAATCCAATATTTGCTCCAAGCCCCATAACCAAGAAAACAGAGAGCAAAACCCGGGACCTAATTTTCAGCAAACTCACTATTCAAATTCTCTTCTTCCTCTCCTTATTTCCACTCCTCCACCTAAACAAAAAATAATAATAATAATAATAATAATAATAACTAATTTTTTCTCACCCTGCGAGCTTACGCAGGCTGAGGGAAAAAAGAAGAAAAAACAGAAAAAAGAAAAAATATAAATCACACAAAAGGCCATCTTCGCAACTTCATTAATCTACGGTTGTTTTAGTTTTCATTTTCCGAACAAACTCCACGATTAATGGCGGCGATGGCTTTCCGATTGGCTCTGCTCGTCCTCGTGGTTGCCGTGGCCGCCATGGCCATGGCGGCGCGTGCGGACGACGACTACACAATGGACGTGGGTTTGATTGGCGAACCAGACGGCCACGGCATGGTGGCGGACGCGCTCGACTTCGACGAGGAGCTCATGATGGAGTCGGAAAGCGCCCGCCGCCAGCTGTGGGGCCGCCACCGCGGCCACATCAGCTACGCGGCGCTTAGGAGGAACAACGTGCCGTGCAACAAGCGGGGCCACTCGTACTACAACTGCCTCGGCCACCACCCCGCCCACCCCTACAAACGCGGCTGCACCAGAGCCACCAGGTGCGCTAGAAACAACCGTTGATCACGCGCTTGATTAATTTGCCGGCGTCGATTTATAACCGGGGGATGGGTGGTTTGCTGTGGCGGAGAGGTTGAATGAATAATAAGGGGTTTTTTTTTATTTATTTTTTTTCTTCTGTTTTTTTTTTTTTTTTGAAATTTTATGTGTGTGTGTTTTTTTTTTTAATATGTATCTTTTTGTATATTGAGTTGATCAATTTGAAATGGTAGAAGTGAGCAAATATTATTGTTTTTTATGTCACGGTTTGTATTGCTGCCTAATGCTATTGGCATAAATTGCCACTAGTTTTGATCAATTCGAGATATATATAAATACTATTATGTTGTATGTATATTCAATTATCTGTTTGTTGTAACGTTCTTTGTTACTTTGATTTTTAGGAAATTTTGGAGAAACAAATGCGTAAATGTAAATTACATATATATTTATTGTCAAACAATAGAATAATATAAGTAATTATTTATGGCTTTTAATTAAAATAACATAACTACACTTTTATACTTACATTGCACGAACACAGATACGCGGACACGGCGATACGCGGATACGGACTCGGTGATACGGCATTTCCAAAAAGCTAGAATACATACACTCGCGGGATACGCGTAAATATAAAAAATATAGGGGTATATTTATAAATTGCAAAAATATAGTGGTACATTTATAAATTGTAAAAAAAATATTTATAAGTCGCCAAATCGCATAAGAGAACCGCTCGCCCATGCTGCTCGTGTTCTTGGTCGCCGTCGTCGCTAGCCACTCACTGTCGCCGCTAGAGTTTTGGACTTTTTGGTGGACTCTCAAAGAAAATAGAGGAAATTTGTATTACAAAGAAATTAAAATGCATATTCTTTTTATTAGGGCTTTCTCTTAAAAAATAAAGCCGTGTCCTAACTTTTTTAAAAATACGGACACTGCTCGACACGGATGTTCTACTTTTAGCAAAATTACGACACGGCCTAACACGGATGTTCGAGTCGTGTCCGAACATATCCGAGTATCCAAGTATCGGATACGGGAACTCTTATCCTTCTAGAAATGTCCGTGCATCATAGCATTTTTACATATTAAAATATGACTGTTATACTCTACAAATTACAATTGACTTTTTGAAACTTCATTTGTTCAAAGGTCTTGATCAGCAATCCGAATTTCAAAATTTAAGTTCCGATTTTTCCAAAATTACTTGGACCGAAAGTGAAATTTATACGAGATTCTGATTTTCAATCAGATTTTAAGTTCCAAAAATAATGCGAAAATTCCAAAGAAAATCCGATTTTAACACTTAAAAATACCAATATTATTGTGCCTTTTATACTGTAGGTGACCAAAAAAATAAAATTTTCGCATATTCTTATTCAAATTTTTAGATTTTGGAACAAGTTTTTTCATTCTAATTTCTAAAATTCTGATTTTTTTTTGAAACGCAATTGAAACTAGTTTTCCTCTTTCTGAAAAATTGCTGATTCCGATTCGATTTGCCGGATGTATATCCCTACATAAATTGATCCATGTAATCAAATGAGAGCTAAACTTGCAAGCAAAGAAGATAATATAGAATAAAAGAGGAATATAATCTTCTTGTTATTGGTTCCCATCTAATTTCCCTTTTGACCAGCCCAGCCAAGCCATGTCTACAATTTACAAGGGATCATTACTTTAAAATTTTCAAGAACTAAGCAATTTTGGAAGCGTTTTGGATCTTATTTTGATTTCATTTTGAGGAAATATGTTTTGGGGGAATAATTTGACAATGAAAGTAATGTTTGTTTGTATTTTGGAAGGAGACAAAATACACTGTAGCAGTCAAATCATGTTTACAGGTGTTAGAAAAAAATATTTTTGAAGAAAAAAATTGAAAAATGAAGTGATGCTTATTTATTTTTTATTGAAGACATTTTTTTACTGTAGCAGTCAAATCATTTTACTGTAGCAGTCAAATCATATCTGAAATAGAGAGAAACTTTTGAAATTGTTTTGAGAAAATGATTTGAAAAGTGTAATAAATCCCATTTTGTTTGGGGAAACAATGAAAACAAAACAAAAATGCATCCAAGCACAGCCTAAGATTTGGTAAATTAAAAAATAAAATAAAAAAAATTGGTAAATTAAAATCGTGCAATAAACACAGCACGTTTCCCAGAAATCCGCACGTGCGACCCAATCAAATAATCAATCAAACAAAAGCTGAAAATGAATAAATTCCCCAAATTATAAAGAAACTCCAGAAAATTCAGAGAGCATCATTTGAGCGTGACCCCCCGTCCACACCCACCCCAAATACACACACCCCCACGCACACCTCTATACATACTGCTCTCCATGGCTGCAGCCTCAGCAGCCCCACTTGCCATTAACGGAGCCGTGAAAATGGGCACCACTTCTCAGGCGTATTTGGACGGCAGCAGAGTCAGAGAAACCAAATCCCTTATTTCGGAGCTCTGCCGTCAATTCTACCATCTGGGTTGGGTTTCCGGCACCGGCGGCAGCATCACCATCAAAGTCCACGATGATTCCATTCCCAAACCCCAACAGCTTATCGTCATGTCCCCCTCAGGTAACATGTATATCTTGTGTTCGTAAAAATGCCTGTGTGGTGTTTCTGGTTCAAGATTCTTTTTTTATGATTTGATTTTACCTGGGCTTCTGTTTTTTTTTTCTTTTCCCTTTTTTGCAGGTGTGCAGAAGGAAAGGATGATGGAGGATGATATGTATGTATTATCCCCCAGTGGTTCTGTGTTGTTTGAGCCAATTGCAAAGCCATGGCCGTATAAGCCCCCCAAATGTTCTGATTGCGGCCCCCTGTTCTTGAAGGTAATAAAATTTGGCTTCTGAAAACTTTTAATTTGATCAATCAACTTCAAAAGCTTAAATATTTGCGTAGTTGTTGTGTTATTGTGTTGTTGTGTTATTGTGTTTTGTTGTTTGTCACTGTCTTGATTGGTCATATGTCAATAAGTAGAGAGAAACATAAGCTGATCAATCTATTCGATACGAATTCATGTTTCTCCGAGTGTGTACTCTTTCTTGAATCTTGATCTTGTTTGTGGGGTCGATAATGATGTTTTTTTCACTCGAGCTTTGGATATATATTTTCTAATATGACGAACCAAATGATATGTATCTGCATATACATAGGGTTAGTTTTAAGCTCCTGTATTATGATATTGCGCTCGCTCTGTTTTTTTCTACCGATCTGTACACTTCTATCATAAAAAGAAGCACTCGATCCTCAGTTGAAAAAGTTTTTGAAGAAAATTTTGGGTTTAACTATTTATGCAGTACCGAGCGTACTTTTCAAAATATACTGTGATATAGGATGAGTCCCTCTATTTTTTGAATTTTCTATGACACAAAGGGTAAATATCATGCAGGCATATGAAATGTGTAATGCTGGTGCAGTCATCCACAGCCACGGAATGGAATCTTGCATCGTAACAATGATTAATCCTTCATCAAAAGAATTTCGGGTACGAGTGTCGACATTTATGGTTCTATAACAAAAAAATGCAATCTTTAATGAATATGCTCCTTATTTTTCTTCATTTTACAGATTACCCATATGGAAATGATTAAAGGAATTAAAGGACATGGTTACTATGATGAACTTGTGGTTCCGATCATCGAAAATACTGCTCATGAAAGAGAGCTCACCGAATCTCTTGCTCAAGCAGTGAGTTTTCTTCCTTCTTTTTTTTAGCATTTGCGCATATAAGTAGTTTTTTAATTATTACAAACCATAGCCCGATAAGGGTAGAATTCAATATTGCAAAGAAGGGCTCCTGCTTTATTTCAAAATTGAGGCAAATTTTGAACCGGGGATCTTTGAAAGTAACTATGGCCATAGTTTGATTCATTGGAAATTGTGGATTTCGAAGTTAGTTTGGACTGTAATGATTTGCAGAGAAATGGGGAATGGTTGTTAAATGAAATATAATTGACAATGTAATACTATAATATCGAGTTGGTCTCCTTGTTTTGCAGATTAAAGCGTATCCAAAAACGACAGCTGTACTTGTTCGAAACCATGGAATATACATATGGGGTGATTCATGGATCAGTGCTAAAACACAGGTAAGTGCTCGATTATGTATTTTGTACTTAATCAATTATGTTTGTAATTTTTTTCTTTTTTTTTATTCACAAACTAAATCGTGCAGGCTGAATGCTACCACTACCTCTTCGATGCCGCAATTAAACTCCATCAATTAGGGTTGGACTGGTCAACACCTTCTCACGGTGCAATCCAAACTCGAAAAGCCGGAGTTTCTGCAAAGGCAGGGGCTTTAAATAACGGAACGGAACCACCACGAGTAAGTTTTTTTTATAGCTGTTTCACACTGGGCTACAATTTCTTCGTGCAGCTCTTGTTATGTATTATTTAAGTACATTAAAATAAAATTAATTAATTGCAGCGTTGCATTGTACTGGACATTGAAGGAACCACCACTCCGATATCGTTTGTTACGGATGTTCTCTTTCCATATGCTCGTGATAGTGTGGGCAAGCATTTGGAACTTACATATGAAACGAAAGAAACTCAAGATGATATCAAGTTACTACGAGCCCAAGTCAGTCAGTTTTTATTTATTTATTTTAATATCGCTTCAGAAGCAAAACTTTTATAGTATGTCTATTTGCAAAACCCTTGTTTTTTTGCTTCTATAAAATATTATGATATACTAGTTAGACAGAGTAAGAAGTTGTTGAACGTCGGGGCAGATATTAGAAAGGAATTTCTGATTGCCGCCGATTCCGCTCCGAATTTTTCCAATTTTGGGATTTTTTATCCCGAATCCCAAAAATCCGATTCCGATTTTCCGGTTTTTTTCATGGAATTGGAATATATATGATATTCTAATTTCCTATCCAATTTTAATTTCCAAAAATAATTCTGTAAATTCTGAATTCCGCCGATTCTGATTCGAAAATTTCCGATTCTGGAAAGAGTTTTTTCATTACATTTTCCTAAATTCCGCTTTCTGATTTTATTTTGGAACGGTATTGGAATAAGTTTTTCGCTACAAAAAAAATCGGAAATTTTCCGAAAGTGCTTATTTGGATCCGATCCTTCGGATTTCCGCCCCTAGTTTAAAGGTCACTAAAGGTACAACAATTTAATGCAGGTAGAAGAAGATATAGAAAACAATGTAGTTGGAGCAGTGCCTATTCCCTCAGACGGAGAGAAAGAGGATGTAATAGCAGCTTTGGTTGCTAATGTAGCCGCTATGATAAAAGCTGACCGGAAAATTACTTCCCTCAAACAATTACAGGTAAGAAAAATAAAATTATATAACTATTATTTCGTTTTTTTGTAATTTCTTTCCAAGCACAGTTTTTGTTAGGAAGAACGATCGATGTTTGAACATTGTTTATAACTGTTCCTCAGGGGCATATATGGCGAACAGGGTTTCAAAGTAAAGAAATCGAAGCAGTCGTTTATGACGATGTACCTGAAGCTCTTGAAAAGTGGAATGCTCTTGGAATTAAGGTTTTTTGTCACTTTCAATTTTTTTTCCGTAAATTCTTGATTAGCATGTTGACTACAAAATTCCGTTATTTTTCTTCGATTAGGTATACATATATTCGAGCGGTAGTAGGTTGGCACAAAAGCTCTTGTTCGGTAATACAGGTTATGGGGACCTCCGAAAATACTTGTGTGGATATTTCGACACTACAGTGGGGTAATTCACTATTTGTTTCAATTAAAAAATTTCTCGTTTTTTTTCGGTTTTGTTCGTTTTTCATTTTCTAGTTACGGAAATATGCAGGAACAAAAGAGAAACGAAAAGCTACATTGAAATAACGGAGTCTCTGGGAGTCGATAATCCATCAGAGATTTTATTTGTCACAGATGTGTATCAAGAAGCTACAGCTGCAAAAGCAGCAGGTAAATTATCTCGCTTCAATTTTTATTTTTTCGAAATTCGGACAATAAATTGTTAATCTGCGAATTGAGGACATTTCTTTTCGTTTTAATTATTACATGTGTATGCATTAAAATGCAGGTTTAGAAGTGATAATATCTGTTCGCCCCGGAAATGGACCTCTTCCGGAGAATAACGAGTTCCGGACAATCAAATCCTTTTCAGAAATCTAATAAGGAATTTAATCTCTGTAAACGGCGATGTAACTGAATCAAATGAAAAATAGATAAACCGGACACGCTGTTGTCGAGGCGAACCTTTGTCCGAAACTTGTTTTGTCCGAAACTTGTTTAATTGCTTAAAATATTCCCAGAATCAAGTTTTTTTTCTTGTCTGAAAGTATTCATGTAGATAATTCTAAAGTGTTTTTTTTTTTTTTTTTTTTAATTAAAAAAAAAATGAAATTGAAAGATAATTCTAAGGGTCACAAAATTGCTACTTTATTTCGAAATAGAAAAAAAGGGTTTCGATTTTTGTCTGGTGTTAGTCAATGAGATAATCATATTCATGGCTGCGTTGACTTGAAATTGAATACTGATAATACATTCCACTTTGTGCCCACCCCACCATTTTCTTGATTGTGTTTTCACCTCCATTAGCTGGTCTAGAGAGAGAGAGACCTGTTTTTGTTTTCAAAATTTGAAATAGTCTTTTAGGGTCAATTCCAATCCATTCTCACTTCGTTTTCATTATATTATATTATATATTATTTAATTTTTAAGTTACGTTCATTCAATTTAGAGGGTGTTTGGCTAAGCTTAGAAGATATTAAAAGTAGCTTATAAGATGTTTTGAGCTTATAAGCTCTTTGAAAGCGTTTGTTAATTTTTTAAAAAAAAAATCTTAAATTTTTAAAAAATAAGCTGTAGGAGACCAAATAAGATCTTTTTAAATAAGTACATGTACCCCACATTTTTATTTAAGATCTTATAATGAATAAAAATAGGAAATAAGCTCCTTATCCGAACACTCTAAAAATTAATCCTAAAAATAAGATGTAACAGCTTATCAGCTCTAAAAACATCTTATCAGATGTAAGAGCTTATCAGCTGTTTAAAATAAGTTTAGCCAAACATCCTCTTAGTATATGAAATCTTCAAAATTTCGTTACTCATAACACCGTAATGATGTAATTGCAGGACAAAAAAATAACCCAGGGGCATTTGTAATTACCAGTACCAAAGGGTTTTTATGTTATTTAGTCTTACTTCAGGGTGTCTGTCGTAATTTACCCTAAAGTTAGAAAAAAAATAATAAAAAAAGAAAATGAACCGGTAATGGGACAAAGACTTTAGGATGATAAAAGTCAGATAAAACCCTGTCAAAGAAAAAGGTTTTGTCAACAGCAGGACGAAACATCAGTAGTACTAGTTGAAATTTAACGTGCACGATGCAACGTCATCGGATTAATTTTATGTCTGAAAAATGAACTCAATTCATTTTTTTTTTAAATATCTAAATGGTTTGGTTGAAGTACATTAAAGAGTATTTAATTCATTTATAGCACCAGTTCAAAAATTTACTTCAATATTTATAGTAATATATTTGAATTATTTAGTACTTTATTATTACTTTAAATGGTAAGAAGTAAGAATTCAAATACATATCGGGAAAAAAACAAATAAAGAAAATAAAAAGTGTAGCCTGTAGGCCTACTCTCTCATTGGGAGAAGAAGCCCAGTAATTATAGGCATTATCCAATTATTGCTAATTAAACCAATCTTATTTTTTTCGTTTTCATCTATGCTATATATAATATAATATAACACCATTGATACTGTGACAGAGATTCATACTGATTACTTTTTTGGGTAAATTAAGTTTAAAGTATGAAAATTCCGCTTAAGTTTGGATAATTACAGTCAACCTTCAACATTATCCTATTTGAATAATTAAAATCTGCTTATGTTTGGATAAATTATGTGGAATATTATTCAGCTTTTATCCATTTTACCTCGTTTGCATCGGCGATTACAATTTTGCACAAAACGAGTATAAGCTAAAGACCATCTCATAGAATCTACAAAATTATGATAAGTTTGACAAGAGTGGACGTGTGAGAAAGACTCATACTTAAGAAAAATGATTGCAATTATCCAAAGATTAGATTTTTTTTCGTAATTTAAATTTAGTTCAGGGCGTGGCTGTAATTTACCCGGCTTCTTTTTATTACATCACGTTATTGGTATAATGTGATGTGGAGTATACAATTTTTAATGAAACATGAATGTAAGAATTCTTGACACCAACTCAGAATCAACAGCAGCAGTAGTACGTAGCTCCACTTACGTTTTTTTTTAATTATTATTTTAAATTTTAAATTAGCACAGAATACGAATTCGATCCCAACATTATCATCATTCAATACATATGGTGGGTTTGACGTTTCTTGAATTATTCTTGATTCTTTGCATCCCAGAAAAATTAAAAATCAACTTACCTCGAAGTTGTCAAAAATAAAAATAAAAAGGCCTTTTTTTATTTTCTCTCTTTATTTTTCTAATTGAAGAACTCAGGCAGGCATTGTCCGAAGAAGAAGACCAACAATGGCAGATGATGTAATGAAACAGAAATCTGATTTTTTTTATTTTTTATTTTTTTTCATTTTGGCTTTTTTGTAGCTAAACATAAGAGAAAAATATTTTAATTGTACAAATGGAGCGTGATTAATTGCTACCTTAGCTTACTCCAAAATCATATATCAAAATCATACATTAATTAATTCGTACTCTCTCTCTCTCAAGAATCAAGAAGAAGACGAACCGGAAACACGAGGCGAGGTCATCGGAAAAAGTGACAAGAGCTGCGGCTCGGCGGCATTTGTCCTCCTCGGCGACGGGTGGAAGTAGAACTTCTTCTCCGCAATCGCCCTCTCCTCCTCCGGCGACGGCGCCGCCGACGAGTTGCTGAAATTGTCCCCATTCAGCGGCGTCATCGGGCTGAGCACCAGCGACGGGAAGTCAAGTATGCTCGGTGACAGGATCTCCGGCTTCCGCGGCGAGAAGCCCGGGCTCTGCGAATATTCCGTCAGCAGCGTGTTGATCATCAGCCCGTTCTTCAGGCTGTTCCGCCGCTCGTACAGCTTGAACCCCTGTTTCTTCTGCCCGGTGCTCCTGATGGGCGGGATGCTTCCGCTGCCGCTGCCGTTGCCGCATCTTGCGGCGGTGGCGGAGGACGGCGGCGGCGGCGGAGGGGGTTCGGTCTTGGAGGCGAGTTTTGCGGTTTCGGAGGAGCCGGTGAGCATCTGCACCACCTGTTTGAAGGTGGCGGTGTCTGCTTGGACAAAAGTAGTTGGGTAAGGATTGTTGTCGTTGGATCTGGAGATGGGCTTCGGTGTTAGTGGTGGGGTGGTGGATATCAGGTGGTGCGACGATCCATTGCTGGTGGCGCCGCCGCCATTGCTGGTGGGGGAGGTCGCCGGAGTTGGGTTCTCTCTCTCTTTATTAGGTCTTGGTGATGAATTGATTTCCATTTTTTTTTGGCAGATAATTAAGAATTAACTCACCACCTCCGATAACCAGATAGAGAGAGAAAGAGTAGAGAGAGAGAGAGAGGTTGTGTGTTAGTTTAGGAGAAGGAAGAGAGGGAATGAGTGAAAAACAAGGCTTTGATGGACAGTGGGAAAAAGATGGTTTGTTTTGCTTTTGTTTTGGTGTCAAGTTATTTTAGAGACTCTTTTTTCAGCCACACTTTCTCTCTCTAGACTTCACTCTCTCTCTCTCTCTTACTAGACTTCTTCTTCTCTTTCTCTCTCATCACAAGATGTAATACATTTTTTTTGTTTTTTTTTTCCAATAAAATTTAAAAAAATTATATTTTCCTATATGTAACTCAAACTTTTAATTTGCAACAACTTGATTGTTAAATTATTTATAAATTTCGATAGAGGAAAGTATTATTCAGATATTATTAATCTTTAGTTTTCAAAAGCATTTCAAACATCGCCCTTAATCATTCGTATATTAATTCAACATTTAATAGACCTTAAGTTCAACCTACAAATTTAATTAATGCAATTCAGTTTGTATACTTGAACAATTGAATTTCAGATACTTATAGTAAAAAAAATTATGTTACCTTTCAAAAAAAAAAAAAGATGTTCTTACAGCCAAACAATATTATTACGAGAGACTTTTCGTGTATTTTTTCTATTTTAAAATCGTTATAAAAAAATATAAAGTAAAAGAAGTTTGAATTTTAGCTAACTTGGAAACATTAAAAATGTATATCACATCGGAATTAATCCAAAAGTTGGAGAAAAGTAGACGGCTAAAAACCATTTTTTTTTGTTAGTAATCACGAAAGAGACAGGAGACAAACACGGGTTATATATCTGTGAGATACTACACCTGGTGAAATAGATTGTATAATTATGCACTATTGATCTATACAAATAATTATCCACTAAATACACATACACACGTATGCATTATTATGTGAGATCAATAGTGCATAATCATTCGATTTATTTCATCGAGTGTCGCATAAATAAAACCTAGGGTATAAGTGGGGTTTCGAATTTTTGGGGTAGAGAGAGCATCAAAACTAGAAATTTCAAGTTGAATAAAATTGGGGCATTGACTTAAGAGCCCTGATTGGGATTTGGGATGTCAACATTTGATTCCATCCATCATCTTATACAAAATACCCACTCTCAAATTTGTACTTTAAATAAAAAACATTTGGCATCATGTAAAAATTAAAATATCATCAACAATAAATAGAAATAATATTAAGTTTACATCTCTCGGTTTGCAGACAATTATACGAAATTGTAGGTTTACCCAATGCACATATACAGTTGGCTGTGAATTCCTATATTATAAATAAAAAATAAAAATAAATCAAGTTTCTTAAACATATATGTATACAAAGAAAAATAGCAAAAATATGAAACATCGAGTTTTTCCGCAAGTAAAAATATATACGTTTTTTTTAAATGCTTAAATTAGTAAAGTTTGGTTAATTTTTTTGCAAAAAAGTTACTTAAGCTAATTTATTTTGATCGTCGTAAATTATCAAAAAATATTTTAATTAACTAAACTTACTTATATATCATCTGAACGATTTAAACTATGCTTTGCACGGGTCATATTACTCTAACTTAAATAAATCAAACTAATATCAACTCCCTACCGATTAACAATAGTGTATATTTAGTACTTTCACATAAAATTCTGGCTCCACCACTGATATTAAAACACATGCTCGATATTTTTTTTAATGAATGCATGCATATTCAGTATTTCATCCACACTACTTTTGGCAATGTATTTATTTATTTTGTTGCAAAAAAACCCATTATTTTTTGCATATGTCTGAGAATTTTAGACATGTTTCACTTGATAATCATATTACCTGAAATTTCTACACTTAGTATACTCTATTAACTAAAATTATTAAAGGATCTATAAACAGACTGCTTTCTATTTCTTTTTGCAATTATTTACCAAAACGTTAATAATTTATAATCACATTTCCAAATTATACATAAATAAAGGAATAATTTACACTCACATTTCCAAATTATATACAAATAGAGGAATTATTACCCCAAAAAAAAAGTCAAATTTTTCATGTTGGGATACAAGGAGTTGTCACTATAGCCCTACAAATGGCATTTTGCCAACTATCTATATATGCTATCTTATTAAGTGCATTATTGATATTATACATATTTCTATTAAGAAATTTGGTGTTTTAATAATTAATTATGAATATACTTGAAAAGTGTTTTCGCCGTAATTAGACCTTAGTTCAGGATATTATTTTTTTGTTAATTTACCCTTTTTTTTGTTAAAAGAAACATGCAATCATATATGTGTATTGAGTGGAAGTCAGAAAATACACTAAAATTATAAACAGTGTTGAACAAGTCATATGCGATGAGATTGATCTAAAAAGTGTTGACACGATTATGAATAAATCAAATAAATAGTTATTTAAATGAATAGAAAGAGTATATTATATATCTTTGCTTTCAATATGGCCTAAGATATGAATAGAAAGAGTTGTAACATAAATAAACAGAAAGAATATAAATATTTGCTCTCAAACTTATGGCTTAAGATTATGACGTGTATCTGAATATATTAGGTTTCTTTGTTCATTAAATTCTCCAATACATTTGAGAAAAGAATCAAATTCCCATTAAATTGGAATATAAATCGAAATAAAGTAGGGAACATAAGTGCCAAAAAAAATGCTTACAATGTTCTCATTTGCAATTAGAGCCTATGCTATTAATATAATAATAATAATATAATATAATAATAAAAATATACTAATATAATCTATTTTCTCGAATCTACTTTTGAAAATTTCAACAATACAATATGATAGATATAGCCTCATGTTCCCCACTCAAAACCATTTAAAGTGACTCGTATTATTAATTAATGATGCCTAATATAGGCATATAAACTAATATTAATTCATTCATAAATTAAATTATTAATAAGTTTTGTTGTCGACTACTTAATATTATGCTAAATGAAATCCATATTAATTTAAAAAGGTGTAACTGTATATCGAATGCTCTTATAGAATTAAAAAAGAAAAAAGAAAAGAACACAACCAAAGTAGGTTTTATTATTGTCTTAACTCACTCCACTCAAAATAACGAGTCTTTTCAAGCCGTAATAAATAATCTATGTTTTCAAACGCCACATCAACATAATACTCCTTTCGTTTTAAAATAAGTGTCTTTCAAAGTTAATGTACACTAATTAATAGATTTTATTAAATATTATTGATTTGAGCGGAAAAATAAAATCGTATTTGACAAAATTACCCTTTTGTGATTTACATCTTTGTTAGTAGTTCATTACTGGTGAGGTAAAGTTGAAAAAATTACATTATCCCGTAGTAAAATTCTAAAAAATGACACTTAATACAAACAAAATTTATACTAAAGTGACACTTAAAATGATATGGAGAGAGTGTTATTTAATATTATTATCTATATAGGTTTGGTGAATATCAAAATTTTCTTATATATATATTAATATGACGATTATTCAAAAATTACATAATTAATAATGTTTTAGTAATGCATACTTATTTTGAAGGGTATATTCCGGCCACTCCCGATGTAATGTTAAATTAGGAAAAAAATTATTTTGCTTGGGTAATTAATTACAATCATCCCTTAGTGTTATGAATTTTATTACTCATTCATCCTCATGGTGTCAGATTCAACATAATCTTCTAGATTTCGTAATGTTCTATTATTTGTACTCATTTTGTGCAAAAATACAGTTTTTGATGCACCACAATATGACATCAATAAACCAATAGACTCATCTGATGATCATCTTGTTTCAAAATATGTAGCTCGGATTGGGTAAAACGGGTACTAACTAGAGAATATTCAACATAATCTAGAAGATTTCACTAAATTTGACACCGTAAACTTGAATGTGTAAGAAGATTAATAGTGGAGATGATGGTTGTAAATTTGTAATTACCCAAATATAAAGAGTTTTTTTTTTGTAATTTTACCTTACCTTATGAGTGACCTGTAAATTGTAATAATTGACCATTTTTTCAAATTCGAAAAAGAATTTATTTTAAAATGGAAAAAGAAAATTGCACTAAAGTTGGCCGGCTTGACTTGAAGTTTGAGATAATAATTACTAATATAATTAGATGACAAACATTGATTTGTAATTAATATATTAATTAAAGCTTTGAATAATAATAATGGAACCAGGAAATTTCAGACCATTCTGCACTCTGACTGGTTGGGTGGTGGCCTAACATCTCACCGTCACAACCGTTTAATTCCCAGTTTGTGACTGTTAATTGCACTTTCATTATTCATCAACAATTATTAATTTCTAAATTGAGAACAAGCTCAACCTAAAATATACTGACAAATATTCAAACTCACGGTAAATCTCCACGGTTTATATTATTACTCTTGCAATTTATTAAAGATAGTAATATTAGGCCCCGTTTGGTTGCCAAGATAAGCCATGATTAACTAAATAGTTGGACTTAATTTGATGTTTGGTATCCTCAATAACTTGCCGGGTCGACCCGCCAAAATTATATAATCATGACTTATCTTGCCTTTTAATGAGTTTTTTTTGTTGGACCTTTCAAGCTCCAATAAAATAATTGGGTCTCATTAGATTATTTAATCTTATCTTGACTAATCTTATCTTGTCAACCAAACGGGGCCTTAAATGATACATTTCTCTGATAACTTAAACATTTGATTGAGATGGTTATTTAGTATAAGCTTCAAATGTAATTTGCCTGCACCCGAGATAACATATTGAAGATATTAATATTAAATAATACATTTTACTAAAAACTTAAACTTTTGATTGAAATGATATTCAACATGAGTTGATAGCTAGTGCTACTCCATTATTAATTTAAAATGAGGAAACTAATTACAAAACTAATTAATTAACATTGAAATATGCCCTTTATTTTGAAACGTTCCAAAGAAAATGTAGAATATTAAATTTCCCTAATCTTACAAGAAATAAGTTGAATGGAACAACTTAATCAAATCCAACAACTTATAAGTTATAATATTCGTTACTCAGTTCTTGGATAGTTCTCAGTTCTCACTAGGCATGCGCCTGATACATATATTATATATAGAATGTCAGTCTTTATTAGATAATTAATCATATTAACTAATCAAACATTATTATTATTATTATTAAACAGTAACACATGAGGAAGGTCACAACTCTATTGTACTACCAAGTACTTGCTAAGAAGCTGACTTTTCAAACTGATTCAAAGATTCTCTCTTAGATTAATTTCTTTTTCCTTTCATATTTGCACTTATTAGTCATAAAATTTAGGGAAAATTACGGCCAACCCCCTAAGGTAATGTCAAACTACGAAACTCCCCCTCATGTTTGGGTATTACAACCATGCCTCAACTATGAATCTTCTTACGCGTCTACGTTTATGGTGTCAAATTCAACATAATCTTTTAGATTCCGTGAAATATTTTTTAGTTTGTACTCGTCTCGTGAAAAAATACAGTTTCTGATTCACCACAATCTGATATTTACAAGCCCAGTGACACATTTTATGATCATCTTGTTTCAAAATGTAAAGCTTGAATGGGGTAGAACGAGTACCAACTTGAGAATATTCCACATAATCTATAAGATTCCACTAAATTTGACACTGTAAGGATGGACGTGTAAAAATATTCATAGTTAAGGGATGATTGTAAGTACACAAACATGAGGGGTTTTTTCATAATTTGACCATACCTCATGGGGTTGGCTGTAATTTACCCTAAATTTTATCAAACATTATTTTTATTTTATTTTTTGGTTGAAACTTATTAAACATTAGTTATAACAACTGGAAATAGTAAGAGAACTAGTTGAAAGGGAAATTTAATCCTCTTTTCTTGAAATCAATACACATTTATCAACCCTTTTTTAACACATGTGCAAAACCTTAAACAACAGTTCTTCTGTAATAACATTGTACATCCAGAACCACACTGCAATTGATTCAACAAGATATATTCATGAGAGAACTGGTAAAAAACAAAGACTAAATTTTTTCCATGAATCAACAAGTGTGTATTGTATCATCAACACACAGTTCACACATTACAGCATCTGATGTTTTCACCAGTTGTGAAAACAAAGAATATTCGAAGAATCTCTCGTCAAATCCAATCTGCATTGGGTTGCACGTATATATAATAATAATCAACCAGAGGCTTTCTTCAAAGTGCTCTAGCTACATTTTTGAACTCATTCAAGCACGAATGAAGTATTTTCTGACGTTTCTGAAGCGACTGCCTCTCGGTCTCGAGCACATCAACTGCACCCGGAGCAACGAACATGTCCATAAATCTCTCATCAGTCACAGCAAACAAATCCAATCCAAGTGCTACACTAAGCCGCTCTTGGCTGCACCACAAGTAAACGGAATGTAATAATCAGAAATTTAAATAGCACGATCATTTAACATAAATAAGCACGAACGAAAAAATATGTATATACCATGGTGTCAAAAATCCAGAATTTAAAGTAGACGCCACGCCCCTCTCGACAAGAACTTCACGTATTCGAGCAAAATGCTGTGCAGCAGACGAACATATCTCTGTGTAAGCCGAACCAGATCTCGAAGCAACATTCTCTCCACCCCCAAATTGAAGGGCACCCCCGTTTTGTGCTCTAAAATGATCCAAATTCCTGTTATTGCCAGCAATTCTCGAATGGCGCTTTCTTGCACCGACTTCGATACAGTTACCTAGTTCCTTCTTAACTGCATAGTTTCCATCGCATGGCTGATCTGGCGATGGGGTTTCAGGCACAGTCATCTGGCATTCTCGGAGAGCTTCTCTCGATTCAGCTACTTTTCCTGGAGTTATTTCATTTTTTTCAGGGGGGATGTTTTCTTGGTCAGTAATTATTTCCTTGCGCGATATGCGGGCCCCATCGGATAGATCGAGACCGAATGATTGGTTTGTTCGAAAAATTGAGTTCACACCTGAACTAAAACTGCCGGATATGACGTCGCTCTCGTAGCAAACAAGAGAGTATGGGCTAGTAACGGAATCTAGGTGGTGTCGAACTACTTGTTTGCACTGTGTAGAAAGATCCCTTACGAAGCTGTAGTAAGAGTGCCTCAATGCAGCATGAAAAGCTACAAATCCATCCATATCTCCAGATTGCTGACCATCTTTAATACAAGAAAATATAAAACAATTAAGTGAATATACTAGCATTTTAAATACTATTGATATTTGTATAACCTTTTCAACTAGACGACCATCTGCGTATTTTGTCACCTTATTTAACATTCAGATATTATCCTAACTTTATTAAACCTGAGTGGATGAATGTGAAAGTTATGATAGTAGTAAAATCTACGCCTTGTGGGTCGACCGTGAGAAAAGACTTCGTTTTTTCTCTAGAAATTGTAAAGTGAAGGAAACAATTCGGTGGTTTTAGAACTTACATCCAATGTGAAGATGGCGATTTCTCTCGATAGCAATATCAAATAGATTGCACAGAACAAAAGCAAGACGATCACACGCTGTGTCAAGAAGAGGAGCAAGCCATGACCTAGCTGCAGCACGTGCAATCTCTGCAGCAGCCTCTGCGATTCCTCTGCTCCCACCCCTTCCAGCATGCGCAAGTAAGATATTTGCCACCTATCAAATAATTGGGTAAGAAAAAAAACGAAACATCAGCCAAATTTCAAACAGAAAAAAAAAAAAAAAAAAAAAAAAAAGGTTCACCTCGGTGAAAAAGTACCTTTTCCCTCGACACCACAGGGCACTCGACAGAATATGTGGCACAGCGAAACTCATGCACCACTCTCTCAAATGCAGCGCCCCCATAAAGACGGAGAGTTGCATTTGGAGGCTTTGTATCTGTAGTAACACCCGGCCAACCACCTATACCGCTCTCCAGTTTTTCCTCTTCGGTTGTTTTGCCCCATTGCTCAGGTGCTGGATCTGCTGCTCCATCAAGAAGTGTTTCCTTTTAGCAATTACAAGTATCATTTTGTTAAGCTTTCATATCCAAATAAACCATCATATAAAATGAAATATTTTCAATTCAAATATAGATATAAATATGCACCAGATGGTTGCAGAGAGAAGCAGCATGCAACATGGCTGATCTCCGAAGATAGGCAACGTCGGAAGTTGCCTGTATTTTGCTCTCCATTCGGGTCAAAAGAGAAGTTATTTCGCCGCAGCGCTGTTCTAGTAAGGCCAATGTGGCAGGTGCAGCTTCTTTGTACTTCTTTTGGAGTTCGGATTCTAAATAATCTCTGAGACAACCAAAACCTATGTAGGATTTGTACTTTTCTTCATCATATCCACCTTTAACCCCATCACGTAAATGGCGATTTACTTCTGTATCTACCTGCGCTATTTGCCTGCGAAACTCGTCGTTAGAAACTATGCTTCTTTCTTTTGGCAGTGCAACAAAAAACGGCCGAGTGTTCTCTCCAAGGTATCCACTTGCACTCAAATATCGATCCACTTCCCAACGGTCACCGAATTCCTGAAGATTAAAAACTTCTAATTTATCACAGCTGTTAAAGTCAGCAAATTTCTGGAGTTTTTCCCCATAAATAATTAACACAAGTCGAGTAGTCTAATATGCTAAAAAATACAAGGCACGCCAATCAGCTTACCTTAAGACGGTTGTCGAATTTGGAGACAACAATGATCGTTCGTCTGAAGGATGGATCAATTTCACGAACAGCGTCCAACCACAGAGACGAGCACCATTCCACACTACTTTGTTGAAGAAATAAAAGAATCCGATGTGGTGGACTAGCCAAGGACTTCACCATAGACAAAATTTCTTCGGGTGTACTCTCGGGTTCACCTTTCTTTGCCTGTTACATTTCAACATTTCAATTCATTTTCACAACCAAATTTCGAAAAGCAACGAACAAATTGAAGAATCTTTCACCCAATCCTAATATTATCCAAAATATCCTTGCATACCTTGAGAACAAAGCCCGGAGTATCTATGATGGTGAGATTAGGACAGTGTGCATATTCCGCTCTCATAACAATGGGCTTAGGTGAAACTGCAGTTCTGGTTTTCTTCAAAAGCGCTTCAGTACGAGACTTTATGGTGTCCGCAATTACAGTAGACGATACAACAGCAGTGCCGTATTCTTCTGAATCCTCATCCTGTTCAATTAATCACATCAGAAATTCAGAATCCTGTGTATTAAAAAAACTGAAACCCAAAACCCGAAAACTAAATTAATGAAGACAAAAAGGCAATTGAGTATTACAGCAAGATTTCACTTTTCTCCACAATTCAACCTTTACAAATTATAAAACTGAGCTACATGTACGAAACCCCGATTTAGAAATTCACTATAAATTTCAAATAATACTCCATTGTAGTAACTATTTCAAATTACAATACTACTTAGTAACAGAAGAGATAAAATAGAGAACCTGAAAACGGCATTGGGGCTCGAGAGCATTGGAATCATGGACCATCTGTAGAATGAGCGGGCGTCGGGTGCCCATTTCGACTTCCCGCACATTGAATCGAAACCCTAGTAGGGCTTCGAGCAGTGAGCTCTTCCCATCGGACTGGCCGCCAATTGCGACGATCTCCGGTATAGGTAGTTTCTCCCCAAATGCAACGGCGGCGGCCTGCAGGCGGTTGTAGGCCTCAAATCTCTTTTTGAATTCGGAAGCGGCCTTCTCGAGAGTGTCCATTGGTTGGTGGTGGCGGTGCTGTTTCCGAGAAGCTGATTTCTCGCCCGACGGAGTTTTGGTGGGGGTATTGAGGGAATCGGTGGTACTTCCACTGTTAACGCCGCTGCCGGTGGTCGCCATTGGAGAGAGAGAGAGAGAGAGAGAGAGAGGAGGTACAAATGGAAGATTCAAATTTGAATTTGTTAAGAGAGCCGTTGAGATATCTAATGGGCCTTCACTCGTAATGGGTCAAGCCCAATAAGATATACATGCAAATCACATTTATTATTATGATTTAGGGTAAATTCCACTTTCCCCCTTGTACTTTGGCTTGATATCACTTTAACCCCTTCTACTCTCGATTGCATCGATTTGCCCATGTACTTGAAAATTGTCTCAATGTGGCCATCGTTGTTAGTTGTCAGACATTTGACCTTAACACCGTTTGGTCTAAGCTCTGAAATTACAAAAACACCACCCCTCCTAGTTTAAATAATTATTAAAAAACAAAAAAGAAATAAAAAAATAAAAAAAATCAAGACAACGAGAAAACAGAGTCCACGACTACAGCCACAAATTATTTTTAAATCTTTTAATTCTTTTTAATAAGTATTTAAATTGGGAGGAATGATTTTTTTTTTTTTTTTTGTGTGGTAATTTTCAGATTTTACTCAAACGGTGTTAATGTTAAATGTCTAAAAAACAATGGCGACGGCCACATTGATAAATTTCTTCAACTACATAGAGCAAATCGATGTAATTGAAAGTAGAAAGATGTAAAGTGATATTAAGCCACAGTACAAGAAGAAAGTGGAATTTACACTATCACTTATTATTATGAATTGAATATAATATTTAATGAATGGTAATAGATTTCACTAAATTAAATTTAATATGACTAATTGAAAAAGTTGACTGTTTGGCCAATTTATTATTAATATTTTTGGTTTGGGACTTTCATATATAAGAATATTATTTTAAGACTTTTTGGATGCAAGACTTTTCAATTGGGACATTTTGATTTTTTTTTCTAATCACTTATGTTAAACATAACGTTAAACAAAAAAAAGAAGAAATTTAATCAAGAAAAATGATATATATGTTGATTTGTACGCAATAAAATTAACAAATGAGATTTAGTGCAAAATATCCTTAATGTTCACATTTGTTTTCGTTTAAATACAATTTTGTATGGCATGGACTTGTGCTAAAATATTTGCAATCTCTTTTAAATGTTAGTATATCATTATTTTTAATTAAAAATGTTATCATATCATTTAATATGCTATTTATATATTTTGAAAAAAAAAATATAGGATCCATAATTTTGAAGAAAAAAAATCGATCTGATTCACAATTTAACAACTATATATAGAACTCAATATTTGAAGCATTTCACCAATGTTCAAATATTGTTTAAATTTATTTTTCTAAGTGTGTAGGACTCGATATATTAGGTTAAGTAAAACTGAATTGGGGAACCAACAACTAACCGAATATATTATAAGGTGACGACATCTCCTCGTACAATCATGTTTAATTTCAATTACCTAATTAACTTCTAATGCATGTTTCAACTTTTATTAACTTGAACTAATTATCTAGTTATCTTGCGTACCATTCCAAAATAGATATTTAAAAAATATGACCCTAAAATAAATTAAAAAATACAAAATAAAAGACACCTAAAACAATGAAACCAAAGAATGAGTAATAGTACAGTTGATGCTATTTTCATTTTTGTTCTCTTTGAATTATTTTTGTACTAGGGGGTCCAACTTATTTGCTGTCATATAGCTTTCACAATCATCTCCTAATTCATACACGTATTATTATTATTATTATTATTATTATTATTATTATTATTATTATTATTATTATTATTATTATTATTATTATTATTATTATTATTATTATTATTATTATTATTATTATTATTATTATTATTATTATTATTATTATCCAAAAAACGCGTTTGCCCTACAGCAACTCATTGAATACAAAAAACGCTGGTTTTGGTCAAGAAGCTAAAGAGCGTGAGTCGCGGCATATAGCACGGAGGAGCGTATGTCGACCACACGTGCCAACTGAAAAACAGAATGATCTAGACAGAAACAGTTAACACGCATATGCAAAAGTGAGATTGAGAATTAAGTTAATTAAAAGTTTAAATACAATTTACACCCCTAAAGTATGCCTTCTATAACGTTTACCCCTTAATAGTACAGTTTGATGTTGAGGGGGTCAAGTGTTACAAATGATGTTTTAATAGGGTAAGTGTTTCATATGTAATACTTGAGGGGTACAAAGTGTATTTAACCCTTAATACATTTCAAGGGTGCACTGAGTAAGCATACACTCTCGTATAATAACTTGCAAACCATACGAGAGACGTAAATCACATTAGGCTAACTATGTGTGACAAGTTCGACATAACAACCGTTGGTAAGGGAATTCGAACCTTAATCAATTGACACAGACTCACTTGCTACAACCGCTAGGCAATCACTTGCGGACCGCAGTTATTTATTATAGTTTGTGTGGTTGTGGAGAAAGCGGGGGGGGGCGGTGGTGGGGGGCGGGGGAGGGGTGAAGCACATGTAATGTGTAAGGTTCCAAATTAGGAATCAATAATTTCGCAGCATCTCCTAATTTGATAATTCCACATACCCCGAAATTCCCTATTTTCAATTCAATTCAATAAAAACAAAAAAATAAAAATAAAAATGATTATAACAAGTCGTTACTATATATGTCGTAATTGATGTGCCATATTAATAAAAGCAATTTAAATTTTGAGCCCAGCAAGCATATGTCAAGCTCAATAAACCAAGCCATTCAAACTAAATTAATAGGATTGGAGACTAATTTAAGAGGTCATTCAAACTCATAGTCGTGTACCAAAACTTTAAATTGAATAATTAATTGTGAAGGTGCATATATGTAATACCAAAATTTGATTATTGAAGCTCCTCAAACTATATTGAAGCACTATAATTCTTTCGTCGAAACAAATTCGTGTTTCTTAATGTTTGCCAAAAAAGAAATTCTTAAAACAACTTTTAATGTTTTTCTCTCCTTGAGGCACGGTGTGACTGCATCAACAAAAAGATGTGACTGTTACTGTAAAAATTGCTTTCACTGAAAAACAAACAAACGTTAACTTTATTTTTCAAATTATTCTTGTACAATAGATTTTTTCTAACACATTTGAACAAGATTTGACCGCTACAGTGTATTTTGTATTATTTCAAATTATAAACAAATATTATTTTTATTCTCTAATTATTCTCTAAAAACATATTTTCTCAAAATAAAATGAGAATAACTCCCAAAATATATTCAAATGTTATCTGAGAGTTTCAATTTTTTACTTTTTTTTTTATTATGAAAGGGATTGAGATTGTATGAAGATATTAGGTATAAAAAAAGTTTGTTAGAAGTAAATTAGATAGAATTTTAAATTAAAAAAATAATTAATATTTTTCTAGAGAGGGCAATATATTTAATATTAGGGTAAATTACAACCAACCCTTGAGGTATTGTCAATTTACGAAAAAACCCCTCTTGTTTGGATAATTACATCTACCCTCAACTATGATTTTTCCTTACACGTACACCCTTATGGTGTCAAATTCAACATAATAATCTAGATTTCATGGAATGTGCTCTAGTTGTACTCATTTTGTAAAAATACAGTTTCTGATGCACCACAATCTGATATATACAAGCCAAAAAACACATATTATGATCATCTTGCTTCAAATGTGGAGTTTGAATTGGATAAAACGGGTACAAAAGTGATAATATTTCATATAATCTAGAAAATTCTACTAAATTGGAAACCGCAAGGGTGGACGTGTAAAAATATTTATAGTTGAGGGGTAATTGTAATTACCCAAACAAGAGGGGTTTTTCGTAATTTAACCATACCTCATGGGGTGGTTGTAATTTACCCTTAATATTATTAAAAAAAAAAAACTCAATATATACTTGTAATGAGTATAACAAAATTATTGGGGAGACCAAAAAAACTCAATATATACTTGTAATGAATATAACAAAATTATTGGGGAGACCATTCTATGTGATGGGACACAATCCAGGCCAAACATCCAAGCCAAATTAATGAACAATAGTACAATACACTCATAGCGTACATGCTGATGACTCACATTAGATTTTTGTGATCTAACATCGTTTTCGGTTTCAAATTTCCATTTTTACCTTTTCTTTTAATACTCCTTACGTTTTATATTATTTGTCATTTTAGAGTTTTTCTTACTCCATATTATTTTACCATTTATCGTTCTTAATCAATTAATTCTGAATTAAATAATTAATGTCAAGGATATTTTAGTGATTTTCTATGGGTTTTTCCACCTATAATCTATGCATATTTATTGAATTTCTTAATGTCTGTGCAACAATCCAAAACGTCATTTAAATTGTGACGGTGGGAGTACCTCTTTGAAGAAAACTCAAATTGCAATTTCTTAAGTCATGTTTGTTCTCATAATTTCAATTTCTATTAGTATTTGTTCTTGCCATATTTAGTATATTTTTTTTTGGTAATTTTTTAGTTTAATTGTAACTTTCAACTGTAGTAAGAATTTAATATTTTTCATAAAATCTCTCTAATTTAGTGAATTCAGGATTTTATGTAGTTAATTTATCACTTAAAAGTAGAATCATTACATAAGTGGTGTTCGCAGAACCTTATGAAAAAGTAGAAGACAGTGATTGTGAGTTAAACGGATATTAAATGCTCTAAAAGTCTGTGATGTTTTGCAAAACCGATCTAGTAAAATTTTATTTTTTAATAGCTTAAATCAGGTTATTTTAAGAGGAATATTATAGTGCAAAAAGAATTAACAGCCATGTGAAATTCTAAAGTGACGACTGAAGTTAATATCACATGGATCTAAACAAGCTCTTATCATTCATTCGTATGACATTTATTTTATTTATTTATTTATATATATTTATTAATAAATAATTAAATATATTGAGCAACAATTCGATGACCTAACGTGGGAAACTGTGGCAGGTGGCTGTGTGTGTTTTTTCTTCGTTTCATCCGCCGGAAAATGAGATCTTTACTCGTGTACTAAATTGTGGGTAAGGGGGATTCATTGATCAAGTCTTCTTAATCAAGCTTATTAGTGTTTTTGTTTATGCCACAAACCCTGCCTAATTATCATATTAATTAAGTTTTTTAAAATTATAATTGTTAATTAGTATTGTTCATGTGTTAGAAGAAAGATGGCCGTCAATTCATGTGTCTATGACTATGTGTGCATATTGTAGAGATAATTAGTTTAAGTATAAGAACGCATCATATACAGAAAAACCTCAATAAGTTAATTACATTGTTTAAAAAATACTTTTCTCGATCATGACTCGGTAATGATGTGCTAATTAAATTATTAATTCGATAATTTAATAGTTCAGTAAATTAACACAATTTTGCTAATTTCAACTGTATTAATTTACAGATAATTAATTGTATATTTATTTTAAAAGGCAAGTTATCGTGTTTACCTATTCGACGACGCTCGAATAGCAATATTACGGAGAGTTAGATGCTACACATAGTTACTTACACCAGGTAGATTAGATAACTACCCATTAAGCAAACATACACATATGTGTGTCTGATTATGTGTAAATCTACCGTTTAAATCCAAGCAGTGCAAATAACCAGGTGTAAAATCTAATTTCTCCAATATTACAACAAAATAAACACCGATCAATGCGTTTACATTGTCAATTTAGGGTATTTACTTATATATTAAATTAATCGCTTAGATTTAAGTCAATGTGAAAACATTTAATTTCCCATTTTACTATTGGCCAAAAAAACCGAATCTTGTCACGAGGATGTACATGTACATATGATTAAAATTCAAAACCTCTTCCAAAGTCGGCTAAATATGGGAAAAGTCAACTCACTTGGTTTAGTCAACCTTTTAATAAATCTAAATTAGAGGTCAAACAACTTGTTTAATTAGTATCAGACAAATTAGCCAAAGTCTCCAGTTTCTAGACTTCTAGGCTTGCCAGCATCAAATTCTCATAATTTCACTTAGTAACATGCATACTCAATCAAGCAACTACATATTTTAAATATATATATATATATATATATATATATATATATATATATATATATATATATATATATATATATATATATATATATATATATATATATATATATATATATGATATTTATAAAAAAAAAATATCATCTTCCAAACTTCCATAGTATTATTTAAACCCCACCATCATCATCCCTTCATTTGCACTCCAAATTAAAACACCACAAGAGAGAGAAAGACAGAGATCTAGAGAGAGAGAGAGATCTAGAGAGAGAATCGCTAAAACCCTAATTATAATGGCGGTCATCAAACACATAACAATTCTCTCACTAGTTGTCTTTCTACTACTAGCCCTACATTTCCGAGGCGCAGTTTCGTCGTCGTTCGAAGACGAAGACGACGAGGAATACGTACTCGACTCCGTATTCACGAACACGACGAGTACTCTCTCGAGAAGAAGCAGATTCCTCGCTTCCGCGGTGATCAAGACAATCAAGAAAGGCGCGAGCTGCGGTGCGTATACGAAGAAGAAGGCGCAAGTCTGCAACGGCGTGTCGGCCAATAAAGGGACCAGCCTCCTCTACTGCTGCAAGAAGCATTGCCGGAATGTGCTCGGGGACCAGAACAACTGCGGCGTGTGCGGCCGCAAGTGCGGCCTGGGGCAGCGGTGCTGCGGCGGGGTTTGCACCAATGTGCTAAAGAACGCCGCCAACTGCGGCAAGTGCGGCAAAAAGTGCAAACATGGGGTTAAGTGTGAGTATGGTTACTGTGGGTATGCGTGAGAACAACAAACAAACATACATACATTACAGAATTTACGATTTGTTTTTAGAGAATTTATTTTATATTAAAAAAATAAAAAAAATTTATTCATGTCTGTAAAGTAAGATTCGAGTTTTCTTCAGTCCATCTCAGACAGTATACTGTAGTTTGTAGTGATTTAATTTGTTGTTTACTGTGTTTTTGTTTTGTGTTCAAATACATGTGTACCTCACACGGGAGATATATATATTTAATACGTAATAAATTGTTCTTTTTTTTTTCTTGTCTTTTTCTTTATGTGAACTTGATTTTTTTTAATGTACATATAAAATGTTTATTACAGAAATAAATTTAATACAAAATACACCGGATTTTATACGATGGAGTCTCGGAGAAACCGATCGGAGTTCATTTCGATCGGCAATAGCATTCTTTCACATAATCTATTTAATAATACAAATATAAAATCATTGCGGTACAATTTTGTTTTTTATAGAAATCAATTTCTTTATTTATTAAAAATAATTTTTTTTTTTTTTTAAATTTTCCTTCACACGGATGAATATTATTACTATTAAAAGTTTGAAACGGAGAAAGTGTAGCCAATTAAAAAAAAAAACAGCTTGGATTTAGTTCAAATTAAATTATGAGTGAGAGGTCTCTCTAATTGCCCCATTAAACAAAGGCAAATTAAGAAAAAATAGTAATAGATAGATTTATTATTACATATGAAATCTAAACTCATGCATGGACAAATGAAAACGAGTAATACACGGAAGGTCCTACCTCTTTGTCTTTATTGCACAAAAGTCCTACTCTTTGATGAGTAGTTTTAAATTTTAATACTAGTTACACTTTCTCTTCACCCTAAATTTTCACGGTTATCTTTTTTCCACCAATGGTTGTTCACCAAGGCACCATTGTCTGGACATCAAACACTTCCACCACCGCCGAGGCACCACTGTCTAGCTAGCTAGACATCGAAACACCTCCATCACCGCCGATGTACCATTTATCTGGACATCAAACACCTCCATCGCTGGAATTGAGATAGCCCTTCTCTCTCATAAACCGGCAACTTTATCATCTACGTCCCCAACCAATGCATCACGTGGCAGAGCTTCTCACATCCGTCCGATACACTTCATTTTTCATGCCATTGATTTTAGTATTGTTATGTGACAATTTACGTAATCAACTATAGTCGGTTAATAAATCAACTAAACAACATAGTCGATTTACGTCCATTTTAATTTCGCGAAAAAACATATGGTTAAGGTCGTAATCTAGAATATCGCAAAAAAATGGTGGCGTCACTAATTTAATTTTCTCATTTCCTATAAGGATTAATTTTATATATATATTCATTGTGTATCATTTTCCTCAACATATCGTAACGTAAGATATTTGACTAACTATTAAAACTAGTACAAAATGAATATCATATAATAAAAATACAACAAACCTGTAAAACTAAGTCATAATTGTTACAAATGCTATTGTTCTTTTTATTACCTTTGCTAATATAAATTGCTTTTGATTTATGTAATTTTGAACATATTTGTTGGTTTTGATTGGTATAGAACCATAAATTTTATCTAAAGTTTTATTTTAGGGCTTGGCCTTAACTAAAAAATAAATTTAAATTATATATAAAATATAATACATACAATTGTTATTAGAAAACATGTGCTGAAAATTGCACAAATCACCACAAATTGTGCTGAAAATCACACAAATGACCTTTAAATGTGCTGAAATTTGACAAATCACCCCAAAACAGTTATCCTAAATATTGTATCGTAATCGCGATATCGCGCGATATTTACATACATATGCCGAGTTGTATCGTTTCCCTAGAAATCGTATCGTACCGCGATAAATATCGCGCGGTATTTCACAATATTGACTACAATATGGTACAAAATATATGGGGAGAGAGCTATGCATGCACATCGTATTTGGTAAGTCTTCTAAACAAAGCAATCATCATTTTTGTTAACTATAAAATTAGTGGCACTAACCATTGAAAATAATTATATATCAGACTAAAAGTTTGGAATAATTAACTGTTCATAATATATAACCACTTCCATGCCTTTAAATTAAATTAATGATCGTGGGCACATAAATATGTATGAATTATATATAGATAATACAACTAATAATTCGAATACTTACCAATAGATTAAACGTTGATTTTTCAAGTCAAGTGTTAATAATTGTTATTACAACAAGAGAATCTAACATAAATTTCTCAAATGACAATGCTCGAACATGTGTTCAACTCACCAACTAACTACTTAAAAAAAAATTCTTACTATTTTAAAAAGTCTTTCAAAATTAAAATCCCCCCAAAAAAATGTATTATAAATTCCTACACAATATCTCCCTTCATTTGTACTCTCACCACTTAACTAACTAAACCTCTTCTAGCGAGAGAGAGAGAGAGAGAGAGAGATCTCTAGAGAGAGAAAATGGCAAAAACCCTAAATGTGATCAAACTCACAACCATTCTCTCACTAGTAGTTTTTCTGCTGCTGGCCCTTCATACCGAAAGGGCAGCATCGTCATTCGAAGATGATCAGGCCGAAAACGATGACGAAGAAGAAGCGTACGTGCTCGATTCTGTAATATTTCGTTGTTAATACAATTCGCAACGAATGTTTTTCGTTGCCAAATCCTCGTTGCTGAAAGTTCATGGCAACGAAAATAAAAAGTCGTTGTGCATACACTATTATCGGCAACGAATCTATTTCGTCACCCAAAATACATCGTTGCCAATACGTTCAAATATATAGAGACATGACAGTAGAAGGATTTGAACCCTGGTTAAAATATTTATTTCGATTTAATAACATATAAAGTAAATTAAAATCAAGAAAAAAGAGTTGGTTTTTAAATTTGCAACGAATATATTTTGTTGTCAAATCTCTTGGAGCATTTACAACAAAAGATTTTGTTGTCTTTCGTCACTTATTGGTGACAAAATAAATTTGTTGCCGTTGTAAATGTATTTACTACAATTTTATATTGTAGCAAAAAGAAATGCTCTTTTGCAACAAACAAAGTTGTTGTCTTTCATGAAATTTATTGCAAAATATATATGACACTATTCACAACAATATATTTCGTTGCCTATGATATTCAAAGGCAACAAAAATATCTTGTTACAAAAACGTTAGTCTTTAGCCACAGATACTATATTTCGTTGCTAAAATATAACTATTGGCAACGAAATTAATTTCGTCAATAAAAAAATCGTTGCCTATTTTGCATTTTGTTGTAGTATAAACTCACAACCATTCTCTCACTGGTGGTCTTTCTGCTGCTGGCCCTTCATACCGAAAGGGCGGTATCGTCATTCGAAGATGATCAGGCCGAAAACGACGACGAAGAAGAAGCGTACGTGCTCGATTCTGTAATATCGAACACGACGAGTACTTTGTCGAGAAGGAGTATAGATTCTTGACCACCTCGGTGAAGAAGAAGAAAGGTGTGATAATTGGTTGCAACGGTAAAAAGAATTCTCAGGTGTGCAATGGATTGAAAAAGGGGAAAACCCTACTCTTTTGCTGCAAGAAGAATTGACGTGATGTGCTCAGCGACCTGAATAACTGCGGCCGGTGCGGCAAAAAGTGCGGCTATGGGAAGCAGTGCTGCGGCGGAGTTTGCACCGATGTTTTGAAGAACGCCAAAAACTGCGGCAAGTGCGGTAAGAAGTGCCGCCGTGGGGTTAAGTGTCAATATGGTTTCTGTGGGTATGCATGATAATCAGTGGCGGATCCAGGACGAAAATTCAGGGTATGTCGGTTGTGCCGAGTCCAAGAATTTATTATATAGTGGGGTTAAATTTTCGGTGGTTCGAGGGCAGCGCCCTCGGATAAAAAATTTGAACCTTTTTTTGTTGGATAAATTAGGAGAAAGGAGAAAGGAAAAATTTGAACCTTTTTTTGTTGGATAAATTAGGAGAAAGGATAAATTTGAAACTTTTTTTTTTTTTTTGGATAAATTAGGAGAAGAAAAAATTTGGGACTTTTTTTGTATATTTTTAATTTTGGGCGGACTAAATAATAATATAAATATAATATAATGTGTTATTTAGGAGAGGGGCTAAAAAAACAAGAAAAAATTATGGATTTTTTTTGTATATTTTGAATTTTGGGTGGACTAAATAATAATATAGATATAATATAATGTGTTTTTGGGGAGAGGGGCTAAAAAAAACGAAAAAAGTTAGGACTTTTTTTGTATATTTTGAATTTTGGGTGGACTAAATAGTAATATAGATATAATATAATGTGTTTATGGGAGAGGAGCTCAAAAGAAATTTAGACAAAAAAATTAAACTATACTTATTTATACCATAATGGAGTCGAACTCATGACCTCATCTTACAACTTGGAGATCTTCGGCACTAAGGCAAATTTATTTTCATTATTTTGGGGTGGTCCATGGCATACTTGGCCACCCCTAGATCCGCCCCTGATGATAATATATATTTTTTTTGATGGAGAGTATGCATGATAATATATGATATATATAACAACATACTGTTTATATGTTGTATATATATTTGTGGATTTTATAAATTTTTGTTTTTTATTTTCTTTCTGGCTAGTGTTATTTATTATTTGTAATGTAAGTGTTATGTTTTTCTTTTCATGCAAATCACGAATATAAACACAAGTATAGTGATCTTCATTTTCTCCCCTCTATATTTGTTTTGTTTTACTGCATATTAATTACTTAGAGTTGGGTATGTATCGGGTCGGGTAATTAGCAGCCAATTATCTACCCAATCTGACCACCCAATTTTGCTGAATATTGAATTAAAGGTCCGGCCATTATGGATTGGATAATGGTTGGCAGCCGATTTTATCGGATAAACAATAATTGGTTGGAGGTATTATCGGCCATTTATTTATTTATTTATTTATAATAATAAGATGTTTTTGAAAGTTTTTTTTTTTCCGAAGATATTTAAAATTTTGGGAAAACTTATACTGCAAAAATCTTAATTTTAAAATTAAGAGTTTTTTTTATTAAATTTTTACAATAAGTAAATATATAATTAAGAATATGAATACAAGAACTATAAAATAGAAATAGTATGTAGATGTTTATAAATTATTTTATATATTATTTCAACATTAAAAAATAAGAATTACAATTAAATATTTATAATAATTTTTCATTATTAAAAAAGTTTGTTGGCCGATATTACCCGACCAACAAACTTTTGAGTAAACTGAAAACCACCGACCGATCCATTTATATATATGTCGGTTAAAATTACCGACCGGATAACAAAATCATCGACGGAAAAATTACTAACCGATAAAAGCAGGTCGAAAGTGAGTCGGTTGACCGATAACAACCAATACCCAACCCTAATATTGCTAATGAAATTGATGTCTTAAATTTATAATATATTTTTTTTAAATGCGTTCACATGTCACCACAACAATATATTTACAAAAAATAAAAATTAATGTTGTTGTGAGACCGGTTAACACATTAATAACATTGTAGTGTTAACACACCATAATAACATTAATATATTTTTTCTGGCAATGTTGTTGTGTTGACATCAACACCTTAATATTGTTTCAAAAATAAAATTAGTATTAACATTACTGTTAACCTATAAACACTTGCAAACAAAACTATTTTTTTTTAAATATTACTATGTTAATCGATCAATAGAACAAAAACAAAAGATTTGAAAAATATATGGTGGGTGTAGTTATTCTATCCACAAATTTTAAAATGAAATTTAAATCAATCCTGTCAGAATTAAAATGATAAGTCGTGGGTTTTTTTTTTTTTTTGTTTTCCTTACATAAATCTTATATATTAATTTATATTATCTTAATAATTATTACAGTGAATGTGATTCCCCACATCATTAAATGCAGTTGTGTCGTATTGAGGTACGAAACATCTAGGATCTAGCTGATGTTGTCGTTCAACATGATTGATACCTACCAACTGACTTCCAAATTTCAACTCTTACTTTTCAATTTTTATAATATCACATTTGAGATTTAATTTATTAATATACAAACAAACCATAATACAAGTCATAACTTTATATTATATTATCTGGTTATAATAATAACTTTATCTGGTCATGGTGATGGAAACTCAATTTCTGGATTTTTTATTTTATTTTGGAATAATATAATTTTATTGTACAAAATGAAATTTCGAGTTTTTTCATAAGTTTTTTTCGATAGAAATTGGAATATATTAAGATTAAAAATTTTAGTTTTCGAAAATAATTTCGAGAATTTCAATACTTCACCTACTATCAATTATATTAATTTTGTATTATTGATGAATAGAAAATAAAATATCCAATTTCCACGATATGGATCCAGAATATTCTGATTTTGGAAAAAAAAAAATATTAATTTATCGTAAAAAAAAATATTAATGTATCCAATTTTTTTCGAATTTTTTTGGAGGGTGTTGGAACTTTAAATTTCATTTTTCAGTTCCAAAAAAAATTATTTTTTTTCGAATTCTTTTGGAGGGTGTTGGAACTTTAAATTTCATTTTTCAGTTCCAAAAATTTTTTTTTTTTTCCGAAAAACATAATTTCAGTCCAATCCATCCAATTTCAACTCGACTGAACGTTCATATATTGACGAATAAAGGCAAATATGCATTTTTCAATACTCTTCACCGGACAAGTCTCCAATCTAGACAAACTCGATCTACAACAAACCTGTTGGCATCCAATTAAACCCGTGAGACGAAAGAAAACGAACAAAAATAAAGAACACAATTAAATAAAACCAATTGAAATAATAAAAAGAAGAAAAACAAAATGATTTAAGTAACATTTATAAGATCAAAACTTCGAATATAACAAAACGAAAAAGAAAGGAAAAAAAACGAGTGTAGTCTCTCAGCAGTAAATAGTTCCGAACCTATTTGCTCTACCAACATTTCAAAAACTTACGCTTACTAGTACCGAACCGAGTCTCTCTCTCTCTCTAACTCCGTACACAATCATCAAGAAAGAGAAAAAAGCTCAACTAAAGATAGCTTTTTGCGACGACCACAAGCACAAGGACCACCACAGTCGCAGCTGGAGCTGCCCACACCCAATAATTTGTCCCTTTCTTGCGTTTCAGTATAGTCTTCGTAATTGTATCCTGCCCCCTCGGACGTGCTCTAGCCCTAACTGTACTACTTCCTTTACGATCCTTCACCTTTTCAGTTGGTGCCGGAATTTCGATTTCTTCTTCAATCTTCTGGGGTTCAGCTACCTCTGCAACAGCTTCTTCGGAATCCGCAGCAGTTACTGCACCACCTCCACTCTTCTTCTTCGCTTTCTTCTCACGCTCCTAAAAAAAAAAAAAACGAGCCCGCCTCAAGTTCAGTTGAAATGCTAATTTTCAAAAAAAAAAAAAAAAAAAAAGAAACAAGAATTGCCTTGAGCTTCTTTTCAGCTTCCTTTTCGGCTTTAATGGCAGCTTTGGCAGCAGCTTTCTCGGCCATCTTCTTCTTCCTTTCCTCCGCCTGTATACGCTTGGCTATCTCCTCCTCCCTCTTGATCTCCTTCAGCTTCGCCTCGTCGACTTCGGTTTTCTTGGGAAGAGAATCTTTTTTCGTAACGAAGAACAATTCTTCTTCTTCTTCTTGTTCGTCTACACGGGTTTTCTTGTTTCCTCCTTTAGCACCCTTTGCTTTCTCGACCTTCTGTTCAGAAGTGGGGTCCACCACAACAACGGCTTCCGTGGTGGGGGCCACAGCCACCTCTTTGGGGGTTTGTTTTGCAACAATCTCGTTTCTTGGAGCAGCAGCAGCTGCAGGTGGTGTTTCCGGTTGTAAAAGTGGCTTCTCGTTTGGATTCCTCAAGCGGCCATCTTTACTTAGCTGCCTCTGGTCGAGAGATTGCAAGATTCTGCTCTCGTAGTCAACCCTGAAAGATTTGTTACTGTTCCATAGGGACATGAAATTCTCGACCTAGGAAAATTTAAGGATGCAAGAAAACCGTTGATTAGTTTATGTCTAATAATCACCGAAGAGCAAAACCAAAAAAATAAAGATTCGGTAAAGCAAAAAACTACACCAAACCTCTGTGTCGGAATGTTCCTTCAGAGCACCGACATCCTTGTCAGACGCAAGTGCTTTAGCTTTGGTCAAGACCATACGGTTTTGATAAAACGGAGTATTCTGCAAAAAAAAATTTAAAATTTTATTTCTATATCAATACATTTATCGAGGCTAAGATAAATATATAGACGGAAGAAATATATACCCCTTCCTCTCGTTGTTTCCTCATACTTCGAATGGTTTCGAAAGTACTGTCCCTCTTTTCCGAAACCGCATTAAGTTCCGCCTCTAAAGCATTGATCTCTTTCTCAATAGCAGCTTTCGCTTCGTCGAGCTGCTTAAGTTTGGCATTCACCACTTGTTTATCCTTTCTAACCCCATCAAGATCCACTCCTATCGACTGAAATTACATTTAAAAAAAATTAAATACAAAATCCCCACCGTAAATTACCGACCGGAAAAAAAAAAAAAAAAAAAAAAAAAAGATGGAATCTTTTTTACACGATCGACTTACTTTGACCTGTCCCTGTATGTCAACTTTTTCGCCCATCGAATCTTGAATTTTCGCCCTCTCGGCGGCAAATACGATAACCTTATCCCTCGTCCCTTCAAGCTGTTTAATTTCCCTCATGATTTGTTTCTCTTCGCTGAGAGGAATGCTCTCGTGCTGAATCCGGTACTCTAAGCTTTTAATCTGATGAAAAGTTAGTTTCGAATGTTAGGTCAAACCAACAATAAAGCGACGAGTACTATTAAAAAAAAATATATATATATATATATATATACATATATATCGACAGAAAACGCTTACAAGATTATTGAGTTCTGCCTCGGATGAACATATAATACCTGAACCCTTCTCTCGACCACCCCCCGAAGAGTTACCCCTCAACTTGCCAAGAGCTTGTTGAAGAGGTTCCATTTCTTTTCGTTTCTCGTCGATTATTGTCCTAAACTGTCGATTCTCGACACTTAACGACCGTATTTCAGCTAACACCTGTCCTCGATCTCCTCTTTTAGCCCTTAATTTTTCGATAATCTGAAATCGGGCCTGATTCTTTTTCTGTAGCTCTTTGTCAGCCAAATCGAGTTTAGCCTTCAGATTGTGGTCTTCCAAAGCCCGATATCTAACAATGTAAAACGAGTGTATCTGCTTCGGCTCGGGCCATTCGTCAACTGCGTCCGTTGGGAGATTGTTAGGCGCAGAAACACTGTTTGCTTCGCCTTTGGCTGGCTCTTCCACACCATGAGAGCCAAACTTTATGTTGACTTTTTCATTATCCATTGATTCGTTTGCAGCACTTCCGTTATCAACGATGACCATGTTAGATTTAACTACCTCCACTGCCATGATACACGAACAAATGCTAATTCAAGAAGCCGTCGTGTAGAATCTCGCACCCTGAAGCAGAAGGCAAAAAATGTGTTTTAGAAAGAAAGAAAAAAAATCGTGAAACGAAGCATGTGATTAAAAAAAATCAATTTTCACACCTAATTGTAAGTTCTTGCGAATCGATTCTATTAGCGCTCACCAATCAAGACTCCAACCTTTTCACTTTTTAATGAATCCCAATATAACCAAACGAAGTTTTGAAAACAAAAATCCAACTATTAGGAATAGATCTTCAAGATCATCACACAAGACAACCCGATAAATCAAGAATTGAACAAACACTTCATAGGAATTAAAAGCATAAGCATGCAATGATACAATACACATCTACTGCAGCTAATTGTATGTTATTGCAAATCGATTCTATTAGATCTCTCACCTATCAAGACTCCAACTTTATCACTCTTCGATGAATCCCGAGACAGCCAAATGGAGTTTTTAAAACAAAAATCCAAACTTTCCGAATAGATCTTCAGGGTCATCACACAAGACAACCCAATATATCAAGAATTGAACAAACCCTTGATAGAAATTAAAGAAATACACATGCAATTACACAAAACACATCAACTGCACCCAATTGTATGTTATTGCAAATCGATTCGATTAAAGCCCTCACCAATCAAGACTCCAACTTTTTCACATTTCGATGAATCCCGAGACAGCCAAACGGAGTTTTTAAAACAAAAATCAAAACTTTACGAATAGATCTTCAAGATCATTACACAGGACAAACCACTAAATCAAGAAATGAACAAAACCCTTCACAGAAATTAAAGCAATACACATGCAATTACACAAAACACATCTACTGCACCCAATTGTATGTTATTGCAAATCGATTCGATTAAAGCACTCACCAATCAAGACTCCAACTTTTTCACTTTTCGATGAATCCCGAGACAGCCAAACGCAGTTTTCAAAACAAAAACCCGAACTATTCCGAATAGATCTTCAAGATCATCACACAAGACAACCCACTAAATCAAGAACTGAACAAAACCCTTCACATAAATTAAAATCAACACACATGCAGCTACACAAAACACATCAATTGTCCATATCACGCGCAGCTAAATCCAATTGGAGCAAGAAACAGGTCAAAATTAACACATTTGGTGCAGAGAAGCCAAGCCCATCCAAAGAAGAAAAAGTCAACATTAGATTTCGCTGGATCAAATCAATAAACCCCAAATTAAACTTACGGGATCGATATACGTACAGATCGAGCAAGAAAGAGATCAGATAACAAGGAAAATTACAGAATTGGGAGAAAACGAAATAAGACAGAAGGAAGGGAAGAAACTTACCAGTGGATAATCAAAAACACTTGGGCGGAGCTTTATAGAAGAGACCGTTGTTTGACAGGACCGTACAAGAGAGAGAAAGAGATCCCAGATCTCTCCACTTTTCTAGAGAGAGAGAGAGAGAGATGTTCTTGATTGCGGAAATAAAAGATAAATTGCGAGGAGAAAGTAACTGAAGAAAATGCTATATATAGATTTTACTCCTTGGGAATAAGAATCAGTGCATCATGAAATTAATATCTCCTTTTTCTTTTATATATGTCATGAAATTAATTTCTCACTCTCACTAATATTTTTCTTCAATATTACTTATTTATGTAACAAATAAAATGTAAAATAAAAATATGCAGGAATTTTATTTAAATGTATAAAATCAAAATTATGATTTAAAAAAAAACGAATTTTGAAAGTACTGAGTTTGTGAAATATTAGAAGTTGAAGAATTTTTTTTATTTTTTTTAAGGGAGAGAATTGGCATTACAGAAAATGATAAAGGGCATAATTGGTAGGAAATTCAACAAAAGGGGGTGGTTGAAAGTTTAGATGGTAAAGAGGATGTAAGTGAAATTAACACTTTGCTTAAATAAAGTATGAATTAGCAAAATAATGAGCCGCAAAATTAGAGTTTCTATGAGAAATATAAACACACATGCAGCTACACAAAACACATACAGAAATTAAACTTCCATTTTGGCCATTTGCACCAAAATTTGCTAATCTCTTCAATCCGTTTATTGATTTAAAAGTTACCTATAATATAATTAGGCTTTATTCATCAAACGTATGTCTTATATGATTTAAATAAACACGAAAGATGCTTGCAAATCATACAAGCATTGAACAAATCTACGCTCTCGTATAATAGCTTGCAAATCATACGAGAGACGTAAATTATATTAGGCTAACTATGTGTGACAAGCTTCACCTAGTGATAATTGGCAAAGGGATTCGATCCATAGTCAATTGACACAAGCTCACTTGTTCCAACCGCTAGGTCATTCATTGCGAGATGTCGAAGGTCATCTTTATTAGGCTCAAATATTGTACTTGCACGAACCAGTTCATTTTGAAATGTTATAACTAAAGAGTTTATCATATTAGTATTAATTAGTTTTAATTGTCACATGAGGCTCAAACTAGTAGTAGATATTATAAATGTTCTTTAAGGACGAAGTTGTATGAATAAAGTAAAATTGGGGTTACATAAAAAATAGAGGTAAGAAGGGTGGTTGAAGATGTTATTTCAGTGTCCTCACGCGCAAAACATGTGACTTTATCCAAACTGGAAAAATAAAACAGTTAGTTCGAGAACTAAAATTGTGAGAAAAAATATAGAGACTAGAACCAATTTTATTGCGTAATATATGGAACACAAGTGTAATTTTCACAAACACATATATTAATAATTTAAGTAATATATAAGACATTTGGTGATTAATTATCAATGTGTGTTAGATCGAAGAGACCTCTCAATGACTACGAGGGAATGTATGTATTAAATAAATAAAAAACAAATTTATCCTACAAGCCAGTGTTTATTTTATTAAATAAAAGGTTTTATAAACAAGTCACATATAAAACCTGAATTTAACAGATTTAATATAAAATTAAATTCAATAAAACGAAAATCTTACTAACTAAATAATTAAATAGTTAGTAGAGAACAAATTCGATCTTTTGTATTCCAAATTAATCCAATATAGGTAACCGAATATGTCCTAAAACATTATTAGAGCTGACTTGTAAAAAATTATGACCAATTTGAAATATCCTGCCTGCTCGTATATAAATATATCAGTGATGGGCTTCGGAATTCAAAATTAGCCCACATCTATATTCTCATTTTTGTTGACTTTGTTCTATATGTTGCATCTACTCACACTTATAGCATATAGTACTCGACTCTACATGTATATATTTTTATTAGGGTAATTACACCTATGAGGTATGTTAAAATAATGTTTAGGGTTCTTATGGTATCGTTAATTACAATCACACTCCTGAAACATCGTTAGAAACTCTAATGAGATAATGCATTGTATACCTTATTTCGCTAGAGTTCTAATGGATTATTAGTTTCAGGAAGTGGTGAAGACAACATAGAGCTATGGGTGATTTAAGAATTGTTGGGGGATCCATATCACCTCCTAGCTCTATGTTGTCTAGACCATTTACTGGAAGTAATTATCCATTAGAATTCTATCGGAATAACGTATGCAATGCATTATCCCGTTAGAGTTTCTAACAATGTCTCAGAGGTGTGATTGTAATTACCGATATCATAAAGGTGTTAAAGTTATTTTAGCATACATTGGAGGTGTAGGTATAATTTACCCTTTTTATTAATTGCACATTTTATTTACATTTATGATCATCTGTAAATTTATAATGATACTTGTTATATTATTTACTTAGTTTAAGGTCTATTTTATGTTAAATCGGGTAAATTTTTACCATTCATATAACACAAACACAAACATATATCCATATATATTGGCGTGTGTAGATCAACGATAAAATTCACCTGATGTAATCTTTACGGGATGTAACATAAAAACAATCCTTAGATTAATATCACCTTGACCTCACATATAAGAAATCAAAAAAGCCAGCTTTGTAGACTTATAACCTACTTTCTTAATTCAATGTTGCCCAACTCTACTATATATGGTCTATGAATGAACCACACGCTTCTTCTCATCTCTAGATACTGTAGTCTGTAAGTATATGATTGTGAATTTAGAATTTCGTCCTTACAAAATTTTGAACATATCATTATGTTAAAACAACTCTACTCTTCTTAAAAAATGAAGATCTTTACGGGAAAAAAGAAAAGGAAAAAGAAAATGAAAGTGGCGGTCGGATGGATGGTGGCGGTAGTTGGGTGGGGCAAGGGCCAAGGGGCATGGTCCGGATTTGAGCCGGTTCCGGTTTGGAACCGGCAGTTCAGGTTCTAGTTTTGTGTGAAGCCGAACCGGACCGCGAATAGGGAGGTTCAGGATCGGTTCGATGGTTAACCAAATAACCGGTTATTTTCAGGGTTTCTTAATTAATTGTTCTTATTTGAACATAAATGGTTTAAAAAAAATTATATTATACTTACAAAAACTGAAAAACTTTAAAAAAATATATATTTATACTTGTAAAAATTCAAACAAAATTATTTTTACTTGTAAAAACTGAAAAAATAATTATTTAAACTTGTAAAAGGTAAAAACTTAAAAAATGTTATTTATACTTGTAAGAAAAAAATAAAAAATAAAATCATACTTTTAAAAGTTCTAAATCCGAATTTATACTTGTAAAGCCAAAAACAAAACAGAAAAAAGAAAAAGAAATTGAAAGGGCTTGCACTTATAAATTTTAAAATGGGGTAAATTACAAACACCCCCCTGAGGTATGACCAAATTACAAAAACACCCCTCTTGTTTGAATAATTACAACCACCCCCTCAACTCATCAAATTTAGTG